GTTGATCCATCAGGCAGCCACCGCCTCGAGCAGGGCTTTGGTGAAGGAAAAGGGACCGAGGGGTCAGTGCTTTGCAGCTGGTGCAGATGTGCTGTGCTAAGGTGGCTGCTGGAAAGCAGCCCTGGCTCTGCTCGGGTCAACTGCTGGGACAGAGCCGGTTTACCCCCGATCTCACCAATAATGTGTTTTTTTCATTTCGCGGTGTCCCTGAGCTGATTTTGCTTTCATGTTTTTAAGCCACGCCCAGCCCTTTGCACGCTGTGTCTGTGCCGTCACTAACGCGGTGACATTTTTTCCCTGTAGGAATATGTTGACTACTACGGAGGGGCCGGAGTCCAGCACATTGCGCTCAACACCTCCGACATCATCTCGGCAGTGAGTGCAGCCCCGGGCAGCTCCCTGCCCGGCACCGCTCCGCCTCTGCCCTGTCCCGCTGGGCACCGTCCTCGTCACGGGGCGGTGGGGGATGATGACCCCCACCGGGGTACGAGGGCATGGGCAGGCTGTCTTACAACCAGCATTAACCACCCAATGAGTTGCTGGAAAGGGACCTGCCTGCGCCTGCGAGCTGCTGGCAGATGCCCGTCCCTCCAGCTTGAAGCGATTGGGCTCTCCAGGGACCCCAATGGCCACATGCTGTCCTTAGGGGGTGGCTGGTGGGGAGCTCGGGCAGCCCGTGCTGCTGGGCTGAGCCACCACAGAACATCACCCACCTTCACCTGAGGCAGGTGCTGGTCTGGACTGAGCCCAGCTGCCCTTGAGCGCTTGGTTTTGGACCCCTCTTGGTTGTGGACCCTTCTCCAGACCAAAGGGCCTCCAGAATTATCGGGGTTCAGGCTGGGATGAAGCATCCTCGCACAGTGGCCAGCTCTCTGCGTTGCCTAGTGAGGGCATCTTGGGCCCTCCCATTCCTGGTGCCCAAAGAGAGAGGGTGGGAGAGGTCCCCATGCACGAGGTTGGCCAATGTCATGGGCACGCATCACTCTGCCTCCTGACGCCATCCATCCTGGGCCACCCTCCTGGCACAAACTGCTCCACAAACGAACCCCAAGCCCAACCCACGCCGGGGTCTGCCCTGCCTTGCAGATCACCAACCTCAAGCAGCGGGGCATGCAGTTCATGGAAGTGCCGTCCAGCTACTACCAGATCCTGCGGGAAAGGCTGAAAACTGCCAAAATCAAAGTGAAGGAGAACATTGACAAGCTGGAGGTGAGTCAGACCGGTCTGAGAGGGAACAGGTTTGCCCGGGGCCTGACCAGCTCTCTGGAGTGTTCTGCAGGGATGAGGTGATGCAGCGGAATCCCCTTGCTCCTATGTGGGCCTCCAAGCTGTCGCCCTGTTTCTTTTCTCCAGGAACTGAAAATCCTGGTGGATTTTGATGAGAAAGGCTACTTGCGCCAGATCTTCACCAAGCCAGTTCAAGACAGACCCACGGTCTTTTTGGAGGGCATCCAGCGGCATAACCACCAGGTTGGTTTGAGGATTTCGCGATGATCTTGGCTTTGAGACCTCAGGGTCACCACGCACCGTCACCCAGCCAGCTCTCGGTGCTGCTCCTTCCCGGCCGCTGCCGAGCTGCCGAGCCCGCTGCCCATCCCCGCGGCCTCTAACGCTGTCGTCTCCGCAGGGCTTCGGCGCCGGGAACTTCAAGTCTCTGTTTGAAGCAATAGAAAAAGATCAAGACGCAAGAGGAAACCTGACCGTCCTGCAGCCCAACGGGGAGACCAAGCGCATCTAGAGGACGGCACAAAACGCCGCCCTCACCCCCAACGAGCTGATTCACAAATGAACCGGGAAGTGGCCGATGTTTTGGTAAATAGCCCAGACCTAAGTGTCATAAACCCAGGGAAGCCACTGCCAAGTTGGAGATGTGAAAGGACTCAACGCCCATCCCGACCCCGCCCCGGCGCTGCCCTCCGCTGACTTCTTGGGAGCGGGAGCGTGGGAAATAGCGAACAACCTCTCAAAAAGCAGTTTAATCTGATCCAAACCACCAAATTCTTAACAAAGGGCAGATTTAGGGTACGTGCCAAAGACACGCAGCGATGGAGGAAGATGGAAGAAACGACTGGGAGCGCTTAAATTTAGTCTGTCCAAAGTTTTCTGTTAATTCAGCTACACGGGAGGCTGGGAGAGGAAAGCATGGAGGCGTTTGCCTCTCTGCGTGTCTCATTTTGTAAGATGTTATTTTAATTGCTTTTCGACTCAATCTTGAATTTGAATTTGCTGAGATTAAACACGTGGTTTTAGGGCAGCTACAACATTCTGGAGTGAGACTTAATCGCATTTACATATTTCAGCCTTCCCAAGGCAATGCAGTCTTGCTCTAATACCTGTAAATTCCCGAATTAACAAAGGCTTGGGGTTTCTCCCGTGTTTCAAGAAGTAATTGCCGGCGTTGGCAGTGATTCCTTGGCTCGGATCCCAGCTGCGTGTGCCAAGTCCCCTCTGGGCATCGCTCTGGTGTTGTCACTGTCCTTGGCAAGGGGACTTTCCCCACCGACACAATAAAGCCCTTTTCTGTCACAGCTCGAGTGCCTGGCGAGTTAACGTGTCGGGGCTGGAGCTCCTGTACCCCGCGTTTGCTGTGGCTGTGGGTCGAACGCTCCCCGAGGAGTCCGCAGACCTCAGCACACAACTGCTGAAGACCATCTCGGGGTCTCCAGTGCCTGCAGGTCTCCCCACTGCTGCACGTCCACCCTCCACAGCCCCGGCGCGCCCACCGCTGCTCCCCGTGCTTCCCAGCATCGGGGCCCGGAGGGGCTGGGCTGTGCTGCATCCCCCTCCCGTCAGCCGCCCCACTCAGCTGGGGAGGCCGAGGACCGAGCTGGGACATCGCCCACAGCCCAGGCTCTCTCCCGTCTCTTCCATCTGCTCCTCCACCAGCCGCTCCATCCGTCTTTCTAAAGCTCGGAGAAGCCGCTTTGGCCACCGCCACATCCACAGCCGCAGCTCCCAGCCAGGGAGGGTGGGGGCCACAGGGCTGGCTCCAGGCTGTGCTTTTGGCTCACGTCAGAGGGCTTCCCCCTCCCATAACGCACAGGTAACAACTCGCTTCAGACTGGAATAAAATGATTTAAAAGAAAGAAAAACCAGAGGGCCTCTGGCCCCAACAGCCTTACGGCACCACCCAAACCAGCAACACTAACGCCTTGCTGCGCAGGTGAAGGGCTTTCGCCTCCATAAAGTTAAAAAAAAAAAAAATCAAAAAAGATGTAAACTCAGAAAAATCCAGGGCAGAGGCGGCAGGAACAGGGACCCCCCTGCCAGGCAGAGGTCGGATGGGCTGGGGCCACCTGCAGCGGGGCCAGCGCCCGGCTGGGCTTCAGCTCTTACAGTTTTGAAGGATTTTTAATACTGAGAAAATTTTCTTGAAGTTTACAAAATTAAATCGCTCACACATTTCTCTCATGCAATATAATGTTGCTTAGTCACCTCCTGCTCACCAGAATTAGTATTTTCAGTAAACTTTGCTGAAAATCTGTTCGTTGGAATGTTCTTTTTCTGGACCTGGTTCCTTGAGCTCTCACAGTTCCCAGCACGGGTCCAAGGGCAAAAAGCTGCCCTGGCTATACATTAAGCACAACATAATTTTTCTGTAAGAAAAGTCAGTATATTTATGGTTTGCTTTATAAAAGTTACTATAATACAATGGTACATAGTATTCAATTCACAAAAATATGAACAAATATATACAGCATGACACATCCACAACAAAAACACTTTCTTCAAAACAAGATACATACTGGTGACAGATCTATATGCACAAAACATCCCTAAATTTAGAAATTTGCTTAACAAAAGAAAAAGCAGAAATCCTAAATCTTCAAAGCAGAGTTGCTTTTTTTACGGAACTTAAAAAAAAAATAAGATTTTTTTTTTTTTATTTATTGCAAACCATTTTGTCCGCCTCCTTTTAAAGGAGGCCCTTTATTTTCACACTGTGAAGGAAAACAACCTGTTTACAGAACCAGAAAACTGCAAGGATTGGGAGCCGGGTGTTCTTCCGTTTGGCTTTCACAACCGCCCATTTGTTTTAAAGTGTCCGTTACGACGCGTTTCTCTTCACTTGGACAAATACTACAGTGGCAATTAAGGAGGAAACTCATCAAAACAAAACAAATATTAAATTGAAAAAAATCCAGTTGCAAACTCGCTTAAATACATTTTAGGTTGTCTATTAGACTGTACACATTTCCTCGCTTGAAATAAATAGAAAAATAGGATTTGTCACATTGGGGTTGAGCTGGGGGGGGGGGGGAGAGAAAGCCTTGACTTGGCAATTTTTTTTCTTCAGTTTCTTAATGCTTCTAATTCTATCTATTTATTTGACAAAAAACCATATTTATACAGAATTTACATTGTACAAAGCTTGACACAAGCTGTAAATGCCACCAGCTCCTTTGCTATACTTAATCCTTCTTCCTCCCCATCTCCTCGGCATGATTTCGAGCTGGAATCTGTTTAAAAAGAACTCCAAATTACAATAGTCACTTTTCATAAATTATTTACATGCTCTTGAAGTACAAAGAAATCAGCAAAAAAATTTCAACATGTTTCTACAAGAAACAGTGTTTGAAGAGAAGATTCTTGAGTTTGCCTATGTACAGAAGACGCATTTTTTTATATACTTCAAAATCCTTTTTTCCTTTTTTTTTTATACAGAAATGCACTGAAATGATCCCTGAAAAAGGTCACAAAAACCAGAACTGAAACTACTGTATACTTTGCTGGAGTTTAAAAATTGCTTTTTTTTTTTCTTCTTGTAGAAATAAGCTGCTCTATACAATATAAATATCTGCAAGATGAGCCCCTTCCCCTCCCGGACCCCCGAGAGTCACAGACCGCGTACTGGGATTGCAGCCAGGGGTGTGAACCCAACGGACAGGGGCAGGCGCGGGGCAGCGGCAGGCGGGATGTGCAAGCGCGGAGCGCGTTTCCTGGAAACGCTGGCTGCGGAGGCATCTGCACCCTGAACTCAAGCCAGCTCCGTGCTGGGAAACTAAAGATTTCAGTTAAATTTCCAAAACTTTTTCTTTATTCTCTTGGGTTGTTTCACCTAGCGAGATACAGTTTTGCAGGGAGCATGGTCAATGTCTCTCTCTTTTTTGCCTTGGGTTTCAATTTAAGTGATAATCAACTGGGGACAGGCTTTTCAGCGAACCAACCAGCTTCAGCAAACCTCTCTGCAAAGCAGCACGCGCTGGTGAGGTGTTTTTTTCAGTCCTTGCTGCTATTTCCACGGGGTGCCGGGGCGCCTGTGCTGACGGCGGGAGGCGAACGCTGGGTTCGGCCCAGGCAGGCGTGTGCATCTCACACCTTCTGCCTTTCTCCTCCCACCTCACCCCTGCCTAAGCACGTTTTTTTTTGAGGGACCCGAAAGTCCCCCCCGCGCTGCTGGCTTCCAACCCCATGGCCGGGGCTGTGCGAGGGCCGGTCGGCTCGCAGGGACGGGGCAGCCACAGGCAACCGCGGCAGCTCATGGAAATCACTGAAACAGACTTCAAATCCTCACCGTAACCTGCTGTTTTGGGGATGGGGCAGCTCCGCAGCCTGAGACAAAAGCTGCACAGGTAGGGCTCTGCAAGCACAGGATTCATGGGGAAGAGAAGCCTCAGGTCTGGCTGTGAGACCAGACTAACGTGACTTTTCAGAAGTGCTGTGGGTTCAACAGCCCCGTTTCCTCCTGTGGGGTTACTGGGAGCTCAGCTCTTGCAAAAACTCACGTCCTTTGCCTGGGATGATAACAAGCGATGGGTTACGCGCAGTTCCAGAAGTACCCAAGTGATTTAGGTGCTCATGCTCTTTGGCACCCGAATCCCTTCGGTGCTCCTGCAAACGTGGTGAAGGAACCCAACCTGCAGGTCTCGTTTTGGAAGACCACGTCCTGCCTCCCTGCCTCTCCTCAACAAAAATGAAGGCAAACCGCAGGGCCTAATCCCATCCAGAGCACACAGCTACACTGGGAAATCCAAACCTGTCAGCAGGTACTTAGGGGCTAAGCCACTTGGGGTGTCTTTGCCCCCACAAAACCACTGTTAACGCACTGGCTTGATCGACTAGAGAGGAAGCAAGGACATCAGCAGAACTGCTGCATGTGGGGGCTTCAGCTCTGAGACCCAGGAAACTTCTGTGCATTTCCAACGCTTTGAAAGTAAAAGGCTGTAGAGATGCCAAAGTGGAGCGCCAACACAACAAGATAAACCTCATTTAAAAAAAAAAAAAATAAAATAAGTTGAGCAGCTGGTTTAACTCCCAAGTGCTCCTGCCATTGCTGCAGCTAGAACCAACGTTCAATGACAGAAACTAGTTGTGCTTCTCATAATTTTAGGTTCTGGGTCACCATTACCCAATTGCTGGAGGTTTATAAAGAGGGGAGGGAACAACAAAACAAAATCAAAACAAAATCAGAGAAGAGACTGTGGACTGTCCAACCTCAGGGACAATTTCCTCACCCTCAGGCAGACGTACAGGTGGTACTAAGGCAGCTTGCAGCAGTCTGTGTGCTCCTGCTCTCTCAGGCCGTCAGTCTGAAGCAGAAATTCAGACGCAGAGGTCTCAGCTACTTTACAAGCTCCACTCCGCAGCGCGGGCCTGGTGCTTCCCAGTAACAGCTGAAAAAACTTCCCCAAAACTCTTTTGCAAGGTTGTAAGCTGTGATCAGGGGGCGGTGGTCACGCAGCAGTTACCGCTGATGTTAAAGGGCTACAAGAACACAGCTGTGCGGTCTGTGCTGCGGGGAGGAGACCTGGAGTTACGCACACCATCCTCCCGTTTCCCAACGACATTGCAACGTCCCCTTATAAGCCAATTCAGAAGGTTTTAGTACAACTGATCTCTACTTTTAAAGCAGGAGAATTTCAATGCAAGTTGAGAAACTGCTCCTGTTTGTAGCCGAATGGTTGTGTAACATTTCCAGATCACATCCAAAGAACTATTTCTTTGGTGTTTTGCCCCATTTTTAAATGGAACCTCTCGAAGATCTGCAACCTTCAGCTAAGCATCTACACGGACAAAATATATTGAAAAATCATTTCAAACTATGCCTTCCCAACTTAAAGAAGCATCCATCTTCATGCTGTAGATGGGGGAGGACAGGATTGCTCCTGCAGCCTGCTCTCAGGATCACTTTTACCATGTCCTTACTGGAGGGATGGGACCACGCCAGGGCAAGTTACTGAGTAACGGAGGGAGGAGAGCGGCACGGCACGGCTCGCTCCTATCACAGGAGGCATCTCCCACATTCAAGGACAGAGCAAATACTCCACGTAAAACGCTGGAAGGGCAGGGACATGCAGACAAAAATCAGAAAAATTAATCTGAGGCACACATCAGCCTGTTTCCCATCTACAGGAAGAAAATCCTGTTATAAACGTGGGCTGTAGTGTATGCTGACAAGGAGGGTAAGATTTCTACAGCGTAAACACGGCCTAAATTGTCCACTTAATTTCAGCCTCAGCCTTATTTGCACGCGAGACAAACCGATCTCCAAGAAACGGGCATCCCCAAAGGCCACACGCCGTGCCACAATGCTACAGCTACACAACCGACTCGGCTTCTTACTAGCGACTGCAGTATCCGCGTATTTTTCCTGTACGGGTGCAGAGGTTTTGATCCCCCAGTATACCAGCATGGCATATCAAAATCAGAGACGAGCCCAAGGCGCTAAGCTGAGGTCTGCGGCTGACCTGACTCTTCCCCGGGGCGTCTGGCTTAGGGGACTTGTTCAGGCTCATCCCTAATGAAAAGGCAGGACAGTTCACCTATAGTCTCGTGGCGGACACACCTCCATACACACACACGCACCCAAGCACATGCACACACCCATTCACACACCCTCAAGCCTCTGGCTTGCTCTGTAACATCAACCTTACATTTATTTACAGCTTACTCCGGAGAAGTCTGTGCAATTTCAGCCAATCAAGCTCCCAACAAACCCTATATGGCATTTTCAGTCTCTGCTTCACATTTAAACGTTGAATGTCTTTTTCAACCAACAAAACTGATGAGAAAAAGGTAGCAGCATTTATGAAAAGATGAAGGTTTATAACAACAATTAAAAAAAAAAAGGTACCATTATCTCATTACGGAGCATTAATGTAGGGACTGAACAGAGAAGCTAGTGTTTGGATAGACCATGCCACAAAACGGTAGTCACCTTTTTGTGTGCGTGTTGGATCTGAAAAGGAAAGAGCACCTGAAACATGAACAGTCCTCGTAAGCATGTGCGCTTTTGCTTTCATTCATGATCCTGGCAGAAGTGCGAAACTTGCTTGTTTTTTTTCTTCTCTTTTTTTCCTCTCTTTTTTTTTTTATTTTTTTTTTCTTTTTGAATTTTTTTTCTTCCTTTTTGTCTTTTTTTTTTTTTTTCTTCTGTTTTTGGCAAAGTGCAACCACACCTGGTTACCACAGTTTTGACATGGCCGAAGGTGCAAGTGTGACGAGAAACCTCGAGTTCAGTTCAGGGTTCCCCTGCAGTTCTCAGAGCCACATAGACATGGGATTTTTACATCCTCAATCGGAAACTTGTAGTCATAGGTAATTTCCTCATTCACATTGATGTGCTGTTTGGAGTAGATGACAATCTTCTTTTGAGACTCCACCGTGATCACTTTAGCATAACAATTTGGCTGCAAGGGTGACAGAACAGGTAATGATTTAGGGTCCCAATGGCCATGGCTTCCCAGCCTCCACACAATAATTCTGAGCTAAAATAGGGCAGGACAGTCCTTTCCCTAGACAGCCTCTGTCATGCTCCTGGAGACGGACCCAGGAGGAGCTGTGAGGGGGAGGCATGAAGGCAGAAAACAGACCCACCCTCCTCGTGCTCCTCCAAAATATCCACATTCTGGCCATCTGTGGTGCAAAAGAGCCTGGATGATGCTCCACCAAGGCTGTCACAGGCTAAAAGCCGCTTAACTAATGCTTAACAATTTGGTCAGGCAGCCAAGCCTTTGAGTGTAGACTGCAGCACAGAGCAGAGGGGAAAGCAGCTTCTCTACCCACTGGGGCAGAGAACACTTTAACCATCTGGACACTAGAAGGAGACTGTTCCCACGGAATAACAACGCTAAAATTTGATTTGGTTTAAGGAAATCTTTGTTAGGTATATTTGAACAGTGTCCGTCAGGGTCCCCCACCACGGTCAGGAGGATTCTGAGTGCACTCTGACTCACTGCGTGTTTCATTTCTCAGGTCTCTCAAATCTCTCTACGCTGGTTTAGACTCTGCTTTGATCTGCTGCAGCTCATTAACATTTAACCATAACCCTGTGACCCCCTGCTACTTCTGAACGTGGCCCCAGTCAAAGTTAGCAAAGACTCAGTGGGTTTATCAGCATGTCAGAGGACAATTATACGCAAAAACATGATACTTACATTGCAGCTGTGATTAATAAACCTGGCAAAGTTTCCGCATTTTGTGGCATCGATGATGGTGTCGTGGTCGACTCTGAACATGTAACTGCTTCCGATGCCTTCATCCTCGTATCGCTTTTCACGCATGTCAGCAATGACCTACAGAAAACCCCACGTGTAGCGTCAGGACACGCTGCAGAATTGATCTGTGAGCAGAGATCTACACAACACTCACCTGAGCCGTGCTGGTGCCACTCAACAGATACATGATCCCAGATACCCCAAGAGAACACAAACCTAACTGAAAACACAGATGTTCCGGACAGGCTTCTTGAGGCTTATCTCCTAAGGACTGGAGTGCTCAGTTTCTATGGGTTCTTGAAAATCTCACCCTTCTACCTCCAAGCCACAAGCCAGCCTCTGCCTAGCTGACGCAGCTAACGCCTAACAGCGGGGACTCCAACCCCTGCTGTCATACTTGAGCACGTTCAGGGCTGGTTTTCGCTCAGATTTCACCCACAGTCCAGCTTACCTGCCTGATGTTCTGACCCACGTACTCAATCACCATCTCATCAGCTGCAATGGGCTCCATAGCAAAAAGGCCCCAGTCATGAATGTGGCTCTTGCAGAATTTTAGTTTTTTCTTCCGGAACTGCACGAAGAAAACACCCCAAAACCCCAACCCTGAATTAGCCACAGCACAGGAAGGGAATGGCCATCCTCGAGTCCAGCATCCACAGCATGCTCCAAGCCACAAGCAGTGCTGGGGTACTTCAACCCAATTTAGTATCCTTCCATCTTGTGGTGACAGAAGGCAGGACAGAGGCCATGAAGGTCCCACAGAGCTGCCGTACTTGGGTTTTCACGGAGAACAGACCCTCTGAGGCCATCTGTTCTGCATAACCCTGATGGTTCTGACTATGGCTCAAGCTCTGTAATCATCAGACACTAATTTACAGCCGTTTATCAGCCAGCTCACGTCTCCACTTCTCACAAGGGAGCACACTGGACTAAGTGTCATGTTTTTCCCTGCGACTGCTCTGTTCCTATTTCTTTAGGTAAATTATTTGTATTACAGGTTGCATTAAGTTGTATTGTTGTATCAAGTTGTATTACATGGAAGTACAGGAGAGCCAGGTACCACTCAATTCTCTGGCACACACAGCGGTGCCCAATGCTGAGATGGCCACCACCAAGGTGAGACCAAACCGGCGGCAGGTCCCCTGCCCTGGCCTCAGCCTGCTCCCAGCCAACCCCTGTGCAAAGCAGCAACCCGCGGGGTGACCTACCTTGAGCTGGTTGAACTTGAGCAGGTCACTGTCACAGACACCAGTGAAGGAGGAGAGGAGCCTGCGTTGCTCTGACCGCCTCTCGGAGCCAGCCCGGGTGGAAGCATGAGGTTGGGCAGGGATGCTCATACCCTGAGAGGACAAATGGGTGATCAAAGCTGACTCAACACCCCGCAGCCTCCCTGTGAGCAACCCTTTGTGCTACAACACATCACCGCAGGACGCGTGGCCTCCTCAAACATCCCACATCAAACACTAACGCCTCCCTAGCAGCTCCCGGACAACGCAGCTCGACACAGGCTTAGAAACAGCTTCACCTCCCTTCGTGCCAAAAGGCAGCAAGCATCCGCCATGTGTGACACCATATAAAGTCAAATCCCATTCACACCCCGTCAGTCAGCAGAGGACAGGTCCTCACCTGCGTGTCAGCTGGAGGCTCCTCCGCGAAAGCTCGGCTATTGTTGAGGTATTTAAGTTTGTCCTTCTTATCAATTTTGTAATAGCCTTCACTTCGTGCACAGCCTGTCACGTGCTCCCGCATCCCATCATCCCGCTTCTTTTTCTTGGGGGTAGAAAAGCTAGTAGGTGGAAAGAAGTTAAGGAGAAACACAGCCACCACTGGATATCAGACAAAACTTGCTTAACATGGGGCTAATGCCGGGAGCTTGGAAAATGAGGAAGGTTTTGGGGGGGGTTAGAAAAATAACAATGCTATTGAAAAATAAAAAAACATCACCGAAGCCCACACGCCTACAGGAAAACCAAGCATGGTCTTTCCTTCTTAGCTGCGCGCTTTGGGGAACTACAGTCAAGAGATAATGAAAATTTAAACATAAAAAGGTTAAGCTGTCAAGAGAAGCCTGTTTGAGAAAGGATTTCCCCACAGCACCCACTACGTACACAGACAGCAGCTGCCCAGCCATCTGGATGCACCGTTTTCTCTGTTTGGAGTGACATGCTCTTCTTCTGCCTCCAGAAACTCCCTGCAGCCACCCCAAGCCCCGCAGACGCCGCACTGATCTCACAGCAGCAATCATTCCCACCGCGCAGGGCTAGAAGCAGCTCAGATGGGCAAGAAACACTCCTCAGCCCAAAGGGCTTGGAGAGACGCTGCTCTCACCGGCCTCGGTAAATCGGCTCCTTCAGACCCTAACAGGAAGGGAAAGACCCTGTGCAGATGTTTCAAACCCCACTGTCCTGATCAGTCAAGAAAACCTAGAGCTGGCCTGGCAAGGACTCACTGCCCTGAGCAGGCAGAAGGCACCTGCAGGTCTTTTCGCTTCTGGAAGGACAGTGGAACTGTACACTGGCAGCTCACCCCAAACGCACAGCCTACAACAACCGAGATCTACCCAAAAATGCTCCCTGTAAGTCATGGATATCCTTACTACCACAAAATTGAAGCACAGGGACCATAAAAAGCAAGAAGCGATGGCCTTGAAATCGGAGTGCTGAGGTGTGAGCTTGCTGCAAAGCAGGTGAACCCTGCGGCAACGTTCACACCCACTGTGCAGTGCAGCACAGCATGAACTGGCAACTGGCTGCAGATTATTTTTAAATGGTTTAAAAAGTGACTGTAAATTTGCTGTTTCCATAACCCTCATCAACAGGGAAACAGATTTCAAGTATTTCCACTATGCAAGCTGCCAAACGCCAACACATTGAAGTGCCCGGTCACAGGCAAGCCTTACCCTCAGCCGCGCCGTTCTGCCTTTCGCTGGCTCTGGTCCCCACCACTGCGGGCCAATGACTCCTGCCTTGAAACTGGTTTGGTTTTCGAACTGCTTCCCCAAATGGGGCAGACACATGATGTATTTCATCATCCTTTTAGAGTATTTAAGCAATTAAATAAACTTATTTCAAGACTATTGCACTGGTATGAAAAGGCAGAAAACTATAAATTTAATCTTACACATTGCCCTTATAAGATGCAGAGAAAGAAAGGATAAAAACACACAGCTCAGCACTGAGCTCCACTTGCTTTTTGTTAGTATCATATCACTGACCGTCTAAAGCGTTTTGGCTTTTTTGCTTTTGCTTTCATGTCTTGCAGGGAGTAAGGGATGAGATATTTTAACTCCACGCCATCTCTAACAACACACGAGGCGGTGCATTTGTCTTCTTTAACATATAAATCCCTATATCCTTCCTAAAAATATTACTAGAGAGTTCTTAGGTTATGAGCACGGCCTTTTAGGCTCTGTTCTGGAGATCACTACTGACAGCCGTATGCACGTAGAGCCTTCTTCTGAGACGCTCCCTGAGATTCAACACTACAGCCTGTGCTGCTGATCAACAGCTCACGGGCAGGGAGGGAGGGGATGGGGGCAGACCCTGCCCCACCAGCACCAGCCAGTGCCACACGCGCTCCCCGCTGCAGCATAAGCATCCCAGGGCTGAGCCTGTCCCTGATGTGCCGCTTAGAAACCATTGCTTTTATTAGTATTTCAAACTCAAAGCAGGTTAAAGCTGCTAGCACCACTAACTCATCATTTTGGGCACAGATGGTGAGATTATTTTTATAGCAAGTTTTAGCTCCAAGTTAAAGCCCTGTGCGTGCAGACCAGAAATTCCACAGGCAAGCTGAAAAAAAAAGGCCTGGTTTAAATGCAGACGGAAGCTTCTCAAATGAGCGAGGAAATCTCCCCAGAAGAGGTGCATGCAGATCTTCCCTGCAGTCCTAGAGTGAAAATGCAGCAAAAACAGCCACTTCTGCAGTATTTTAGTATTGCAGCTTCAGGGAATAAACCAGTCTAAGATTCCCTGCTGATATAAGCAATTGCTATTCTAGTAAGCAAATGCTTCTTCCACCAACAAACGCAGTCTTTTGCGCTGTAAGTCCTACACAGTGACCGCCTAGTGCACCTTACACGTCTTGTGGAACACAGAGCGCCAGTGAGAAAGGATATAAGGATGGAATACCCACAGGGTGTCATTGAGCCAGTCCATACCATTGTCCTGCTGCAACAAGCGGTCGTATGTGATACACATAAATTTGATATCTTCCTCGTCTATGCCTCCGTTCCAAATATCATACAAAATGGTCATCTCCTCAAACTCGGAGCGTGGCCTGAACTGAGGCCGGGGTGGGGAATACTCGGGGGAAGGAATCACTGGGAGGTCTTCAGAGGTCTTCTTCGGCCGTCGCCACTGTCTTTTAGGTTTCACGTGAGCTTCTTCTTCCTTGAAGTCTTCATTCCACTGGTTCTCCAGTTCCTTAAATGGCAGTTTCTCTGCAACTGTCTCAGCTGCTATTTTCTCGTGGAAACCATCATTCCTGAAATCCAGGGTGACGGCTTCAGGATCTTTTAGTCCATAGAAAGCATCAGGATGTCCACTCAACAGCTCTTTGCCCACAGTACCTTCCACCAAGGCCACTGGCACAGGAGGAGGTTCTATGGTTTTGCTCGAATACACATCCAGCGAGAGGACAGAAGGTGGTGACCGTCTTGGCCGACCTGGCCTCCTTTTGGGAAGAATGGAAGGTGGTGGTGGGGGAGGAAGAATAGAAGCACCAGTGGGTACTTCTGGTGAGAGCAAAACAGATTTTACTTCTGCCTTGCATTCCTCAATGGGCATTCTTCCATCTCCATGCACGCATGGCAGGACTGCTACAGGTATTGGCTCATCAGGTGGCAGACCGATGTCTGTGCGGAAATCTGCTTGTGGGGGGCTGGCAAAGGGGATAGGGGAAGGAACACTGTTCATGCTGATCGTCAGGGAAGCACCAAGAGGCTCTTTAAAGGGTTTCTCATCGAGCTCATCCTCTGACTGTTTCTTGCCAGACAGAAGGCAAGGAATGGTAGCACCAGCCTCTGGGAAAGTAGGCGTGAAATTGAAATCTCTCCCAGGAGTCCGAGGAATGCCACTGTTAATGCCAGGAGATTGGGATGGGTAGGAAAAGGGGCTCCCTGGGACCTGAGGGGAACTGAGGGTCAAGCTGCTTCCCGTAAGTGGAGCATCGCTTCCTGGCGTGGCTGGAACAGTGTCTGTGCTCTGCGACTTCGCAAGGGGGTGTGAAGACTTGGCCAAAATGTCCCGCCCAGGAGTCCTAGGAACCTCCTCTTCCACGGACGTTTTGGTCACCAGTAATTGTTCAGGGAACTTTTCTGGAGGAACTAAAGATTCTTCTTTACCAGGAGTCGATGGTAAGGGAAGCATGGAGGATGGCACCTTGTGGGCTGGAAGCAAAAGAGTATCAGTCTCCGAATGGATCATCACCTCCCGTCCAGGCGTGCGAGGCAGCCGGTCGTCCTCCTCCGCTGCCAAGGGCAGTTTTGTTTTAACACAAACTTCTAAGCTGCTGCTGTCATCAGACTTGCTAAAGAAGCTGCTTTTAATGGGCAGAGGTTCTCCGAAGACTCCCACTGGAGCTGAGAGACAGAGCCCCGCCTCATCATCTTGAGATTCAGGCTTTGGACCTTCCTGTACCTCTGTCTCCAGCATGGTAGCAGGTTCAGACTCTTCCTCTGAAAGGGGGAAAAAAGAGAAGAATCAGAAGCTTTGCTTCCACTCAGTTACTCGCCACTTGCCAGTAAAGGCATGTTTAAGACGCCGCAATTACAGAACAGCTCAATTCCACTGGGAGGCTTTAAAAACTTCAATGCTTTACATTTTGGAGGCACCGAGTGTGGAGTAATTAGATGTTACCACAGACATCCCTAATGGACCATTAAAAAAAACGCACTATTAATTTGAGGATTTGCTATAACACAGGCCAGAACGAAGGTTTTCTGCTTTCAAAACCCCTGACCACCTTTTACACAGACATAAAAAGAATTAGCGGATTGTGGGGCGAGGACGTTGGAGGAGAGCTGTCAGAGCCCCAAGCTATCAGCTTTTCTAATGTGGGAAGGTAAACTAATTGCAAGGCCAAAAAGCACCCTCAGCTCTCCAAGGAGGGAGCAGTAACGCTCTTGAACAACACGTGAAGGGAAGCCCTTGTAATGAGTGAGCAGACACTCAGATGGTATCAATGAGGCAATTTATATGCTGCGGTCTCTGCAGCAGGCTCATTTGTCTGGAGTTTATTTACCCCCTTAGGGCCAGGGCCAAGAGAAATCAACAGTGAATCTTGTTAGGCAGCTCAAAATAACATTTTCAAGTGGGAGAGCAAAAGCAGGTGAAAATGCCTGGAGAGTTGGAAGGGAAGTGTTCCCCATTTGTGCTGAAAGAACCAGACAGTCGCTGGACTCATACTCAATCCCTGTAACTCCTGTACGACTGGGCTGTGCTGCACAAGAATGCTGTGGTTTGAGCTTGTTCCCACAGCTTACCTGTAAAGCTCATTCCACACGTCAAGGTGCCCAAATGCAGGTCTGCCCGAATTTATGTCCTTTCTGCACACTGACATGTTCTAGAAAGGATCTGTGCAAAACAGGCTCTTCTTTGCCCTGCCCAGCTGAACGTTTCACCTCTTTACGGCTTTCAGATTTTAACAGCCTGTGCAGGGACTGGATTTCCAGCTCTCCAAGTGGCAAAATACTGCCCAGTCCTCAGACACCAAGGCTGACACTGCAGGCCACACTAGATGTGCTCTCCCTGATGGCTACAGTTTTTAACTTCTTAATTACCCCCAGCTGCAGAATTTGTCAAGCTTTATGCATCTTCACTCCTGTTCCAGTAAAAGGTTTCTAATTTCCTTGGGTTAACTACACTCGTATAGAATGAAGACAATTTCCTTCTTCCAGAAAAGGAGGGAGTATCACTCACTTAAAAGGATTAATTAAAAAATACCACCTCACAAATACTAATATTGGGAACTAGACATAATTCTGAAAATCCACTCACCTGCCCCATATAGCTTTCCAGTCATGTACTGCTTCAGTATTAAAAAAAAAGAGCCAGCAGTGACTCATTAAGCACAGACTCCTGTTCTGTTCTAGCAGCCATGGCTTTTCTATCTTGAGCTTCAGCCACCACACCATCCAATCAGTCACCCTCGGACGATGACAACTGTTCAGTTCCTGTAGGGCACTAACTAAACTGGCCCAGGATAAGGTTCTGGATACAATAACCACAGTATTTTTAGTAGCAGATGGCTTGTGTAGAGCTCCTTACTAGGAAGGAAAGTTCAGCACAGACCTCTTCCCCTGTACAGATATCCCCTAGGCTAGAGCCAAGACTGGAGGAAGAAAGAGCACAAGGGAAATGCAAGACCACACATACTGGACGCCGTGAGAATACTGTACTTGGAAACATAGTAAAAAATGCCAAACCACACGGGAGAGCATACCTGGCCTACAGATGGGAGAGAGCACATGTTTTGTCTCCTGGTCTCTTTCCATAACCAAGTGTTTCAGTGTTTCAGCAGCAATAGATGCCTCTGGGACTTCACCACATTCACCCTCCCCTGCCTTGATTTCTTCCATGCCTTCATCTTTCACAGCCAAAGCTGGCTCTGTGAGTCCCAAGCCCATTGTATCCATGTAGTCATCCACAGGATACAGCTCCAAAATAGTTTCCCTCTCATCATCAGGAAGCTCATGACCAGCAGGTTCATGCTCTGTCTCAGCAACCATGGCTTCCCTGTCTTGATTTTCAGCCACCTGTTCCTCCTCTTCCTCCTCCTCCTCCTCCTCTTCATCATCATCATCCTCATCTTCGTCATCTGAGTCTGAACTTGACTCGAATTCAGAGGAGTCCTCACTTTCATCAGATGATTCAACTTCAGCCTTCGAAGACGACGGACTTGCTACATCTACAAGAAGAACAAATTACCATTAGTTCCGCTTTCTGACTTCATTAAACAATCAGGGTCTACCACACAAGCAAATCTCACTTCCACACTGTAACAGCGTGGAAACAGCATCCACAGCAGCGTGTGGGTTTGAAGGAGGTGCCTCCTAATTTATTTATTTTTGCAGAGACTTCTAAACCACCTATTTGGATGCTCACAACAAGCACCATGCAACAGGCAGTTCCACGAACAGCAGAGCTTGCGCTGCCTGGCACCTTGCCCACATAGGTCTATTGGTGGATTGCCTCTTCACTGGAGATGTACTAAGATTTTCTGCTGCCTTCACACACAGCTTTAAAATGTGGAAACTACCACCTTCCATAGCAGCAACCGATTGATAGGACAGCAAGTTATTAGCAGCTAAATTACCCCTGTCTGAAATCTGGTCCTTTCTCCTCCCAGCCACACATGTTTCATAAAACAAGCACAAACTTAGCTGGCTTTAAGACCTCTGCCCCTCTGTTGAGTTGGGCTGAGATCACTCAGGGGCTGGAGAGCTATTGCAAAGGGACCCTCAGACTGAGGGATCACAGAAGCCTCGCAGGTAACAATGAAAAATACCTGTAATACAGTAACTTGTATAAAACCGTCCTTCAGTGAAAGAAGGTGCACAGTTACAAAAATCAGCTTACAAGTGCAAAAGGGAGACCATACCTGACCCAAAGGCTACGCTTACTGCTTCCGCCGGAACTGCTTACCCTCCTCGGAGTCCTGCTCCTCCTCCTTGTCACTTGTGTCTACACCTGTCTCCTCCTCATCATCATCCTCATCGTCCTCTTCATCCTCATCTTCATCCTCCTCATCATCTTCATCCTCCTCATCATCCTCCTCTTCCTCCTTTGCAAGACAGCATTGCCAAAAATGAACGGTGTCTGACTGAGCACTGGCTGTCACCGTAGTAACCACCAGCGTCTCTCAAGGACGCTGATCAGAGAACCCAACGAGGGAATAACCTTACAGAAGTTCTCTTAGGACAGACAGAAGCACTCACCTTCTAGAGAAGGCAACTTTAGCATCTGGAGTTACTACACCCCCTTTTAACAACAGACAGCATTCAAAACTGCAATCACAAACCAACACACCTTGCCAGGTGCTGCTTTCACCAGGCCTCCCTCTTCTTCCTGCTCCTCTTCTTTCTCCGAGGAGGACTCTTCCTCTTTCCC